ATTTTTTTCATTTATTCCGGCTTATTTCATCTCTTATACCATACAAGTTATTTTTTTTTTTTTAATATTTTCTACTTCTTTGTATTATATATAAACAATTGATCTTACTATTTTGAGAACTTTTTTATTACTCAATATTTTATTTACGATAAATACCCCGTGCATCGCACGGGTGTAGTACTAGTAATGTAGAAATAGAAAACTTTAATGTGGATAAGTATGGGTATAATTTATGTTTTATTGCCGATTATAGCTTTTGCACAAATATTAATATGTCAATATTAATAAAATGGGTTTATTTTTTACAAATACTACCCGTGTATAATCTCTAATTGCTATGTGTTAAAAATATTAGCAACAATCCCTTATGAAGTTAGTGAAAGTCAATAAGGCCCCTAACAGCTTAACGTGTATAGCACGCGCGTATTATTCAACTAGGGGTGTGTTTGTAACTTGAAAAGATACAAATGCCCTTACATCAAAAGTTATAAAAACTACAAATTCACCCTAGAATTTAATGAGTCCTATAATGAAATTTTTAAAAATTTTAATTGCATCCCTAACATTTTCACAAAGTCATCTCCCCAAATCAACCCAAACCCAACATTCATACTTTTGGTCATGGGCTTCTACGCACAGAATTTTGTTCGAAGTTTCACCATGTCAAAATTATCGATCAATTAATCAACGCCCACAAACATAAAATAATTTTTATCATAAAAAATCAAATTAAAGATACACTAGAAAATGTTGAAGCATTGAAAGGAAGAGAGAGTGAGAAAGAACACACATAAGGCGACGGAAAACTTGAACTATCCAACTCCAGTCCCCGATTCGTTTCCCTATATACACCACCACCATTGATACCCTCCCTAAGTGTAAATTATTTGCGAAATTATCACCGTTACCTCCCTGGTTCACAAAGTGCCCGTCTTGCGTCTACCCAAATTCAGCCCAACCCGAAAACTACCCATCAAGTCCTGAAACACTTGTACAAAAATTCGTCCACCGCAGTTAAGTTTTTCCGATGGTCAGGTTAGTGTGGAAAGAGGTAGAGGAAAAATAAGATCCAAATGATCGAGAGAGAATTTGTTTGGGTGTTTGGAGGTATTTTACTTTTTTCTTTTTATTCGAGGTAGTATAGTCATGTTAGTTAAGTCAACAATACAATGGTAAATAGGGAGCTTTATGCTATGTCAAACACACTATAGGGGGGCGATTACTAATTTATTAAACACAGAAGTTTTCGTTGGTTAGAAATAACACAGGGGCTCTATGCTATTAGCTCTTAATAAAATCAATACACTAAATACGTTAAGTTGGGCCCAAATAAATTGTTTATTAAAGCCCATGAAGGTTTATTTGGGCCGTTGAAATTTATCTAATGGGCCGTAAAACGTGTCATATACCCAAAACAAATTACAATTAGATAAATGGGGAAACAAGTAATATAATTAATATGGCCAGGCAGGTTTTTAGATAATTAATTAAGGTATTTGTCATGTTAAAACAAACAAGAGTTATGTCATATGAAAGATAATTAATTTATTTTAGTTAATCATAATTAATTAATTGAAGATTAATAATTATAAATAAGAGAAGATGACAGGAACAAGCCAGCAGACATTCAGCTAACAGACAACTGTATACATATGGTCTGATTTGGATATTGCTGGACTTGCCATCCGATATATATTATGTCTTTTTTTTTTTCTTTTTCTTTTTCACCTTTTATTTAAGTATCTTCATTTATTATTTTTATTTTGTTACTTACGTTTGATGCTTTTTTAGGAGTAGTAATTATCAATCATCATCCATTCATTAAGAACATATTAATTATCAATTACGATAATGATAATATACTTTAATTTATGAATTTTCATTTATTTATATAATGAATCCAGCTACAGATTTGCATTGAGTTAATATCTTTAGAAATTTGGTCCCTACTCCCTCGTACTTTCTTCGACGTATCTTTAGCAAATCTGGTCCCTATATTATGAAATTTGTATTTTTTTTTTTTATTTTTTTTTTTGGGTTAAAGTATTTACATGTTAAATGATAATTATAATTATTATTATTATTACATGTATAAATATGTATTGATACATTATTAAATTGAATGTGCAATACACAATTCTGATGCTATGATTAAGATTGGACGTGACTTAATTACACTTGTACTTCCTTTTCTTTAATCAGTCAACACTATATTATTTATTTATTTATTTTCAAATTTAATTATTATGGTCCTGACTAAATTGTACTTTTGTCCACCATAGTTGACACATATAATAAGGTTTCATTTTTATTTATTTTTCAAAATTACCCTCTAAAAACTCATGAATTATGAGGTTGTGTGCTTTAAAAAAAATACATTATACTAAGTAATTTAATAATATTAATTAATAAGATAAAATAGTTTTCTGTGGGCAGAAGTCGATAAAGTAATGTAGTTCGAACACATGAATCTGATCACTGGCGCCGCACGTGAACACTGATAATAAAAAATAATAAATCTTATGTTACAGATAAGAAATTAATTATTCGATTTAATTTCTTAGTTCATGATTCATTTGTGTTTTAATATTAAAATGAATTTTGAAATTCATTACTGACTCAAAGTGAGAACAATTTTTTTTTTTGAAAGTAATTGTAAAATGATTTTAACAAACAACTTCGATTAAATATTTTTATTCGTCTCAATTAATCCAAATTTAATTTCAAGTAAATTAAATAGAAAGACAGAATTATGGTGATCTTTTGAAACAATTGCCCACAAAAATAAATGGCTGCTTGAATTTGAATGGCATTAAAAGTTAATGGGTACCATCTGATCGATGAGCTTCACAACTCATATGTGATTATATATTGAGATATTTTATATAATAATAAAAATTAATGCCAACCTTATTAATTACGTTTGGTGTGTGTATAAGATATTATATTAAGATGTGCATGCATGTGAATATGTGATAACTAGAAATAGGTGAAGTGGTACACCAAATTAAAAACTTGTAAATATGGAGTTGCCTAAACATGCATATATATTAGTGTGACCCCCCATCTAATTAATACATTCATTTTTCTCTTCAATAAAATTAGGGTAAATCCAATTCATGAGGTATTAACCAGAAAAGACAATTTTTCACAAGTAACTTATAACCAGAAAATGGAGAGAATGCCAAAAAAAACCTGTGTGTGTGTCAGTGTGTGTGTGTGTGTGTGTGTGTGTGTGT